CAAAGGCACCATAGACAGTCGAGTGTGTCCTCTAACTGATCGTCTTACGCCTATCTGCTACCTTTAACCATGTTTGGACCTGAAAGAGATAGTCCGTACAAATGAGAGTTATGCAGCATAACGCAAACCCGTTAGCAATTTAGTATCCAAACGCAGACTGAGCATGTACCTACCGTAGAAAAGCCGGACCAGTTCCCAAGTCGAAAGAGACAAGCACCTTGCCATCAACGAGGGCTACCATGAAAAAGTCCCCTCTACGGTCGAAGGAATAGCCGGAGTAGGCCAGTAGGCCGGTTGAACCGCGAGGTAGAAACACAATTTGAAAGAGTGTATCAGTCATTGAGGTGGCCTTGATGCCCCAGAAGGCAAGATGTGAATTTCCATAAAATTCGGGAATCTTTGGAGTAAGCTCTACAAATCAGAATAATTATTCTTACAGCCATAGCTGACAATAAACCGGACTTTTATGAAAAAAGATGAAGGCGCATGAATGCTCGCCGCGCATGAAAACGTGTAGATTTCAAGTAAAAATGAAAGGCTTTACTTTCTAGGTTAACGTTCATTACAGAGGATTGTAGCAGTGCACCAAGTTAGAAGAGCAAACGATAACGACCGTGATAGGTTTAAGTGTAATTTACGTAATTATGAACTATACTGGGATCACAAGTACTAGCTAAAAGCCAAAACACGTGTTTCGTAGGTATTCTGGCAGCGTTTGTCACAATTGCGGGGAATTCGGCTCATCGGGAGGCTCCTCAGCACTCCCTGTGTGCTTTCTGGTGGATAATTTAACATTTACATTTGAGCTTCTTAATATCGTCATAAATTAATTTCTAACCCGGCGTTGATTAGTATATTAAAGAGTCTACAGGTTTAAACCGAAATTTAAAATGAGTATATGGCTTGACGTGCATCAGTAAGAGCTAGGTAATTGTGTATTATTCATTAAATTTTCGCTAAACGGGTAGTAGCATATATTTTAAACACACCAAACACAATACTGGCAACAAAAGTATTAGCTAAAAGTCCAAAAACACGTTTTACGATATTCTGCTACCGCTTGTTACAGCTGCAAGGAGTCTGGCTCATGTGTGGATTCCCCAGCATTCGCTGTGTTTTCCGGTAGATACTTTAGTTTAAGTGTGCTGTCATGCGTACGTTTTAGAAATAAACTGAAGGGTTTATTATTAACAGTAGCAGCGGCACTTTGGGCGCATTTTGTGCTGAAATGCGGTTTTTATTAGACATAAGATGTTGCTTGAACGTTTACATCTTAATGCTGTAGTTAGTAAGACAACATTTTTGTGTTGCCTCCATGCCAATGTATGGTTCCGTCCCAAAACACCATCCCACCACCGAAACATTAATTGTTTTCTGTTGTCTACTTTCGTTCTACCCCCTTAATAATTCATCACATAATTTGTGGGACGCAGTCCCCAACTAGATTTTGCGAGGTGATACATTCCAGGGCGTAACTATTCCCGTATTCTCACTTCAGTAATAAACCGGACCCTAATCTGTTCATTAAAATTCACCTTTATAGCTTAAATTCTAACCATCCTAACTCTAACAGGAGTACACGGTTACTCGTAATGCGGCGGTCCTTATAAATCAACACAAGCACGATTCACCTTCATTATTCCTGGTACATCGCATCTTTGTGATGCCTCTTTAGTTGACTTACCGACACTTCGTCTACGGAATAAAAACCACCTTTCGGAATAAAAGGCTAGTAATTTGCTTTATATGTGTTTGCTTACGACTTTTTCTGTGTCCTCGCTACGGGATACTACCGAGGGACATGGTTATTCAGGTTTTTCTGCCGACGCGCAGTTTGCTCAGTGCTTTAACAATGGTTTTTGGCAACACTCTCATATGCCGAGGTACTTAAATATCGCTAGCTTCATCGTTGTGTCTTACGGGAGCGGCGTTAATAGGGGTCTAATGGTTGTGTCATATTAAATGAAAGGAAAAAAATAAGTTAAAAAGTTGAGCGTATAAAAGCAGAAAATAATAAGAAATAATTATTAAAATCAGCCAAAATTTTCGGTTGACAAATAAAGTGAAAAAGTTAACCAATAGGAAACAAAATCTGTGCAAAACTACCTTCACATAGACTGAAAACCAATATCCATTCTGCATTGAAATTTAGAGATTAAAATAAAACTCACAATAGCTTTTCATATACTTGGACAGATATTTTAGTATCATTAACCGATAAGCAACCATATGTTGCTTAAAAAGACTAAATTGAATTAAAATTTAACAGAACTAAAAGTAAACTAATAAACCAAAAAATAAACTAAA